AATCTTGTTTATCTTTTCAAAGAACCAGCTCTTGGATTCGTTGATTCTTTGTATTGTTTTCTTTGTTTCAATTTCACTAATTTCTGCTCTGATTTTTGTTATTTCTTTTGTCTGCTGAGTTTGGGTTTCATTTGTTGTTGCTTTTTAAGTATCTTGAGTTGCAATGTTAAGTCATTTATTTGTGTTCTTTTTGATTTTTTGATGTAGGCACTTAGAGCTATAAACTTCTCTCTAAGTACCACTTTTAGTGTGTCCCAGAGGTTTTGTGTTGTATTGTCCTTTTCATTTAGTTCCAGGAATACTTTTCTTTCTTTCTTAATTTTTCTTTTGACCCATTCATCATTTAGGTGTGTGTTATTTAATCTCTATTTGTTCATGTGGTTACTAGGGCTTCTTCCAGTGTTGATTTTAAGCTTTATTGCATTGTGGTCTGATAGAATGCATGGAATTATTTCAATCTTTTTGTATTTGTTGAGGTTTGTTTTGTGCCCCAGTATATGGTCGATTGTGGAGAAGGTTCCATGGGGTGCTGAGTAGAAAGTATGTCCTTTGGTGCTTGGGTGGAATACTTGGTAGATGTCTGTAAGTCCATTTGATATATGGTATTGTTTAATTCAGATGTCTCTCTGTTAACTCTATGCCCTGTTGACCCATCTAATGGAGACAGTGGGGTATTGAAGTCCCTTACTATTAATGAGTTGGGATTAATCTGGGTCGTAAAGTCCTGTAGTATTGTTTTTATGAAGTTGGGTGTACCAGCGTTTGGTTAATATATGTTCATGATTGTAATATCTTCTTGGTTTATTGTTTCTTTGATCAGAATGAAGTGTCCCTCTTTATCTCTTCTGATTAGTTTTAGTTTAAAGTCTATTTTGTCAGATATTAGAATTGCAATGCCTGCTTTTTTCTTAGTACCATTTGCTTGGTATATTTTTTTCCATCCTTTCACCTTAAGGTAGCATCTGTTGTTGAAAATGAGATGCGTTTCTTGTAGACAACAAAAAAATGGGTTTTGTTTCTTAATCCATTCACTTAGTCTGTGTCTTTTGCCTGTGGAGTTCAGTCCATTAATATTTAAATTCATTAATGAAAGATGAATATTGAATCCTGTCATTTTTATTAGTTTACATTCTTGATATAGCTGTACTTTTCCAAAGTTATACCTTCATTGAATTTCTTTCTGCAACCCCTTGTGTATAATCGTTCCTTTCTTCAGCTGTTTGTATTGCTTCTAGAACTCTCTGAAGGGCAGCTTTTGTGGACATGAATTCTCCTTCAGCCTATTTATGTCATGGGAGATTTTTCTTTCCCCTTCAACTCTAATAGACATTTTGGCTGGGTATAGTAATCTGGGTTGGCATCTGTGCTCATTTAACACTGGAAATACTTTGGTCCAGGCCCTTCTGGCTTTCATAGTTTGCACTGAAAAGTCAGCTGTAATCCTGATGCATTTTCCTTTATATGTGACGTTTTTTTTTTTTTTTCTTTTGCAGCTCTCAGAATTTTCTCTTTGTTTGTACGTTTAGTGTTTTTACTATGATGTGCTGTGGAGAGTTTCTTTTCTGGTCCTGTCTGTTTGGTGTTCTAAATACTTCTTGTATTTGTATGGGCAGGTCTTTAATTTTGGGAAATTTTCTTCTAAAATTCTGTTGAAGATCTGGTCCGTACCATTATATTGGGATTCTTCTCCTTCCTGTATGCCTATGATTCATAAGTTTGGTCTTTTTATGGTGTCACACATTTCATGCATATTCCATTCTTGTGATTTCTTAAAATTTTCATAATCTTTGCTTGAGTGGTCTAGTTCGTCCACTTTATCTTTCAGTCTTGATACTCTGTTTTCCATTTCATTCATCGTATTGGTGAGGCTTTCTCCTGTCACTTCTAATTGGCTTATTGAGTGTTTCACTTCTTTCTTCATTACAGCCTTATTATTCTTCAATATTTCTAACCCTTTTATGAATTCATTTAGCAGTTTATCCCTACCTTCTTTCAGTTCTTTGATTTCTTTTTCTGTGTTCTTTAAATTCACTGAATTCTTTTAACATGTTTATAATTTGTTCTTTTGAATTCCATGTCTTGTGTTATCTCTAGGGTATTCTCATTGTACTCCTCTACAGGACTGTTGGTACTTGGAGGGGATATATTATTTGGCTTTTTCATATTATATTTTTCACTGTGACATGAAGTGCGGATTTCTTTTTTTGATTATTGTATGAGACCCAAGCCTTCCTTTGTTGAATTTAGGTCTGCTTCTTTTTGTACACTTTATGTACCTTTGTGGTTTACTTGTTGGGCATGAAAAGCTGGTTGGTCTAGGCTTCAGGTTCTCTTCTTTGATTTTATATTGGAGGGGGAAATTTGATTTCATCTTCCTGCTCAGGAGTTCCCACTGGCCAGATTGCTTTTGTCTTCAGGAGTTCCCACAGAGGCCCAAGTCAGATGAGGATCAGACACTCTCAGGCTTTCTCCTGAGGTCTGGATCCCTCCAGGAAAGATGTTCTCCTCAGGAATTTGGGGGCTGGACTGGCCTGGGAGCAGTGCCCAGGAAAATGCTCGTCTTGGGCAGCTGGTGGCCTATGCCACCCAGGTAAGCAGAGGGAGGTGAGAGCGGGACCAGTCCTAGAGTGCTCCTGGGGACCTCAAGAAGGAACTGGGTTGGTGTGGATGCAAAGGATCTGGAAGCAGTGGTGGCCCTGAGCCTAGCGGTCAGCCCCAGTATCTGGAGTGCCTAGCCAGTACCCAGGCTAGGAGGAGAGATGGTTTGGAGGAGCTGGGAGGGTGAACGAGGCGCGGGGAGTCAAGGTGTGGTGGGCACTGCTGGACTTACCCAGGAAAGAGGCTGGCGGGTTGTGCAGCCCAGGGAAGCAGAGGGAGGTGAGTTCGGGACCAGGCCCACAGGGCTCCTGAGGACTGAGAGAAGGAACTAGGTTGGTCTGGATGCAAAGGATCAGGAAGTAGTGGTGGATCCAGGCTGAGAGGTCTGCCCTGTGTCTGGGGTGCCAAGACAAGAATTGGCCATTACCCAGGCTAGGAGGAGAGATGGGGTGGGGGAGCTGGGAGGGTGAATGAGGCTGGGGGAGTCAAGGTGTGGTGGGTGCTGCTGGACTTATACAGGAGAGACTGTTTCCTTTTTTTAATATTTTATTTTTATGTGTGAGTGCTATGCCTGCATGTAGGTAAGTGCACCTGTGTCATGCAATGCCCAGAGGACAGAAGAGGCTGTCGGATCCCCTGGGACTGGAGTTAGGGACAGCTGTCAGCTGCCATGTATTCATCGGGGGCCCTGGGTGTAGCTTAAGCTTTCTTGGTCTCTCCTTGGCAGCATGGAGAACCTTTTGTTACTCCATGGTGTTTAATCACCTGGGGACTCAGTCCCAGGCCCAGCCTCCACCTCAGGTGTGGGTAGACATCACTAGAGCCCCCACCTGAGGAGTTCTGTACCTTATACACAACTCTTCCAATCACTATGGACTTTCAGGGTTCTCTCTCTCTCTCTCTATCTCTGTCTCTCTCTGACACACACAGTTTAATTTATCCATAATCTCAGTTATTATTTATGAAACACTAATTTCCCTAACATTTGATGTGTGAGCAAAGAGGTTTATTGTAGCGGTCCACTATGTTCCTGTAAGCTGTTCAGTCTGAACACTTCTTGATATCGTCACTCCAGGATGGGTGGACTGCCTAGGCAGAGGGTATGCATTCTGAAACCTGTAAGCTTCTGGCAGCCTCCGGTCTGTGCGTCTTCAGATTGGACTTAGAAGCAGGTTTGCACTAACAATATAGAGCTCCTGTTCACCTTCTCAGGGCATGTCAGGAAAGTGGAGACACTGAAGTCTTACTGTCTGGGGGCGATTCATGTGTTCCTGGGCTCTGGGGGGAAGGGGTCCCTGCACACAGAAGGAAAGTCTTCTGGACAGTGACTGCCCTCACTCCTCAGCAGGTGGCCCTGGTGTCTCAGTGAAGAATCTTACAAACTCTACAAGCTTGCTGCTGGGGTCCCTGGCACTCTGCCCACTGCCCAATGTCACCTTGTTGGCCCTTTGACCCCGACAGCTCTAGCATGTGCCTCACCACCCGTCCTGTTTCCAGCAGGAACAGATACTCTGGTTGTGATGCTTGACAGCTGTAATAGCAGCATAGGGGAAGGGGACTCGAGGGAACCAGCCTCCACCCCAATGCTGGAAGCACTTGCATCACAAATGGCATTTCTCCACTGAGGGCCTTGGCCTGAGGCAAAGAATTATTTAGGGACACCTGGAGGAGTGTGAGTTCATCCACACATTTATGTACCTATGGTGTGCCTGTGTGCTTTGTGTGAGTGATCCCGTGTGTATGTGTGCGCAAGTTCAGCATGTGCATATGGACAAGTGCATGATTATGTAATATGATATACATACATGGTGTGTACGGTGCATGAGCATATGCATGTGTACTGCAAGCACCACACTAGCCTGCAAGATTGCTTACAGGTGCTTAGGGACGCTCACAGAGGCTAGTCCCAGAGGCTACGGAGGAGCTGGCTGCTCTGCCATCAGCGTGGGCTGGTTAAGGTGCCTGTGGCTTCCTAAGTTTCCATGAGGAAGAGTGTGAGAGCTAGTGCTAGTGATGGCAGGGAAGGGACTCCTCCCTGCCGGCCTCCTGGGGCACTGGGGCAGAGTAGGCAGGTCTTGGGAGCCACTGAGCTAGTCCTGGCCTGCTCCTGGCTGCTGGCTCCAGGGCTGGGTACCTGTCTCACATGTGTTCTCCTTTCCCTGGCAGGGAGGATGGACTTAGCACAGCTCAAAGTGAACACAAAGCAGGAGCTGAACCAGATGTCCAAGATCCTGCTGGACTGCTTGAAACACGTTCCACAGGCAGCCACAAGCCACAGCCTAGTCACCTGCCTGTCCCCACTGGGTTCTGCTAAGCCCCTACCCTCACAGTTGCCTATCCTGGCCACCTGGGGAGAGAGAACATTACCCCTTCTCATCTTCCACTGGAGAATCTGGGCCATGGGGTCGGCTTCCCAGGACCTGAAAAGGGGCAGCGGAGTGACGATGCAGCTGTCAACTGCTGGCCTAACCAGGGCAGATGTCCTTGGGAGGAACCTAACGCCCTCCAGCTGTGCTCTTTGGAGGGGCCTTCCTTCTCAGAGCCATTAATGTCTCTCTAGGATGTACGGCCTGGTAGTGCATGGAGTTAGGGAGAGGCTCTGCTTCCTGTGCTCACAGGCCCAATTACATGGAACTGTATAAAATGTGTGTCTACCAGGCCCAGCAGTGTGGGTCACAGCTCCCAGATAAAGCAGCCTGTTAGCCACACCTGGCCAAGAGAGCAGAACATCTTTGACTCCTGCCATTGAGGGTTCTTCAGCTACGGAGGCAGACCCAAGGTGAGGGAGAGCCAGCCCTGCATGCTGAAGGGTATTTAGACCCCATCTGCAGGTGCAGGCTAGCTAGGAACTTGCAGGAACAGGAATCCTTCCTTGCACAGAGGTGGGAGGAAGGGGCAGGCCCAGGTTCACGGGTCTTGGTACCCTGGCCCCTCTTCCCATGAACTTTGACGTGATCAGTTGGGGAAGAGGGGAGCCCTCCTAGGGGAGGACTTGACAATGCTCGGTGGGTTCCACATCACAGAACTCCTGGGGCTCCACTATGGGTGCAACCTTCATGCAAACCTCTCCTACCAGGTCCTGGTCTGTGCCCTGCTATGTACAGCCTCAGGGCACATGCCATGCTTGCATGTGCACACATGCAGTCTCTTCCAAGCTACACAGGTCACATCCACTATGGGTCTCCAGCCTTTTATTCATACAAGGACTCAAAGAACACACGTCACCCACTGGTACTGAGTGGCAGGGGGCCTCATGGAGGAAGGCTACAGTAGCTTGGCCACTACCCTGTCCAGTAATGGCCCAGGGTTCCCCCTTCCAGACAAGCTCTGGAAATGCCCAGTGTCAGGCCTGGCTGCCCTGTGCAGCACGGGTGCTGCTGTCCTGACACTTGGGCAACACTTGTCTCACAGTCCAGGTCTGGCACCTGTCACCCCAGCTTGAGTGGCACTAGCAGGGGTGGGGCAGGGTGGGTGTGCTCAGGGCCTGGGCCCAACATATCCATGGATCAATGTCAGAGAACGCCTGCCCTAGGCCAGGGGGCCTGATTACTAGTCAGTCCACTGTGGTGGCAGTGGCCTCCCAGGGACAAGAAGCAAATGCTAAGTGGCCTTCTTTTCCAGGTCTCCTGCATGTCAGGACTACAGTCTTCCTGGCCATGGCACCTCAGCATTCCCAAGGCCCTGGAAGTCCTTCCCTTGCTGAAGGGCCTAGGCGGGAAGAAGGGGTCCCAACAGCCTTTGTAAGCCAGGTGCTCCCCAGGCCATAGACGGGCCCCAGGATCCAAACAGTCCCCCGGGCCTCTCCAGTGCTATCTGGGAGGCTTGAGATGCAGCTCTCAGTGGACAGGGACACTGAGTGTCTGAATGTGCGCGTCTAGAAAAGCCCTTTACTGTCAATGCTCCCCTAACCCCCAGAGAGCTGCCTGGGTTAGGAAGGGGCCCAGGAGTCCTCCTGACCTGCAATGCCAGGTCCTAATGGCCCTGAGCTGAAGTTTCACCAGCCACCCAGCATCCCTGTGATCAGGTGACCTGTCGAGGTGGGATAGCGGCTAGAAGCGACCGGCTACTCCACCGAAGTGGGGTTCCTCATACAGACTTGGCTCCCCAAGGCCTGACTCTATGAACCTTTGAGACAGGACAGCATCCACCCTCAAGGAAGTATGGCAGAGACCACCAGATGCCACTCTTCTGGTGGGGGGGGGTCTTGGACTCAGAGCCTCTGCTGGATGGAAAGTATCATGCATAATCTTAAAGGCCCTGCCAGAGCCTGGGCAGGGATACCCTGGTGGCCCTTGCGGGCTTCCTGGGGAGTTGTGGCGTGGGCCTAACTTTCTGACATCTGTGACCCATGGAGTCTTGTGGGGAGTCCCCAGTGGGAAGAGGCAGGAGAGGAAGGCACAGGCTTGCTTGAGGTCTCCAACGGGTTGTAGCTAACAGCCGCCCTTCTAGCTGGCCTCAATAGCTTCCTCGGGCGGTGCGGGAGGGGGAGGATGGTGTGCAGCCAGAGATGCCCCTGAGGTCCCTGAAATACATGGCTTTTGGGGATACTGGCTCACAGCTGACCTGATACAAAATGAAAAGCTAGAGCAACAGGTGAGGCCAGACCCAGGAGGCCAGGACCCCATGCACCCTGCCCCAGTACACAGAGCCACTGTCTCCTTGCCCTGCCCTGGGCCTCGGAGGCCAAGGGAATTAAATATTGTCTGTTGCATGTTTTGGTCAACAGTCCTTGGGGTAGTGGGGCAGTTACCGCCACCTGGGCCTGGCTGCTGCAAACACCTGGGTGAGGAGGAAGAGCAGGAGGAATCTGTGGGGCTCTAGGCAGCTGGTGGCTGAGGTCTTCTGTCCCTCCTGTTCTGACAGGCCAGGAAGGACGTGGGTCAGGGGTGTCCGGGAACTGGAGCTCTTCTTGCTGACCCTCCGGTCACAGCTATCATCTGGGCAGCCACCACCGCTGCCAGAGCCACTGCCATCATCACCTGGGGAGGAGAGAAAGCTGCAGCAGGCCCTCCCTCCCTGGGGACCTGAGTGCTGGGTGACCCTGGGAGCCCAGGCCCTGTTGTGGCTGGGCTTCAAGAGCCCAACCTGAAGACTCAGTCCCGGGTAGTGCTTCCCGCAGTTCCCACCTGTTCCATGACAGCCAGATGGACATCTTGGCCAGGCTTCAACTGTGCTACAAGGGCATGGGGGTCTGGTGCTCACACACCCCGACAATCAGTCCCTCAGAGCACCTGTGAGAGCACAAGCCTGAGGATGTCTGCCAGGAGTTGGGAGAGGTCACGTACCCTTCCTCTCCTGAGCAGGATTATCACATCTCTGGAAGACCCCTTCCCACCCTGCCCCAGCCCCTGTGGGACTCACTGGCGTCCTGGAAGTCCACATCATTGCCACCGTAGGCGCCACGCAGACGGTTGGTCATGATCTTAAGCTGCATGATCTGCTGCCGGATGGTCATGTCGGGCTTGGTGATGTCCACTTCCACTTCAGGGTTGTTGATCTGGTTGGCCAGGCCATCACCCATCACCTCAGGTAGGTACCTGGGGAAGGGCAGCCAAAGCCTCTGTTCACTACACTGGCGTTTGCAAAGGGGTCGAGCCATAGTGTAGAGCATCCCTAGCATCCCCTCAGACTGAGGTCCCTGGCCTGAGAGTCAGTGGGCTTCCAGAGCAATAGCCCCCACAGTCCCCAGGGGCATGTGCCCACTGCTGGGAGCCGATTCAGACAAGGGTATGGTCCTCTGCCCCAGCTTCCTGTGTCCCGGGGCATTCCTGAGGCCGTAGCCCACTGGTGGGCACTTACCGGCCCTTGGCTATCCCGTTCCAGCAGCGGTCATCACTGGCGGAGCTCATGGCCATCTTCTCACTGCACAGTGTCCCGGGGAGACTGATCCAGAAGTCCTGGATGTCTCGGAGCTGGACCTTGGCCTCAGAGACCTGTTAGGTGGCAGTCAGGCCAGTGGGCAGCCTGGGGCCAGATTGCCTGTATCCCCTCCCAATGCCAGAGCTGGATGAGGGGCCACTCACCAGCTTCTCCAGTGTGCCTGTGGGGGGCCTCTCCTGCAGTGCTAGTTTGCTGCGGCGCAGCTTCTCCTCGGGCCCAAGGCTCTGGGGATTGACCTTGGGGTTGCCGCAGCCTTGGATGACCTGGGGAGATACCACAGGGGTCTACAGGACTAGCAGAATTTCTCAGGCCCTAGTAGGGCCATATGTGGCACAGCTCCTCCAATCCTCAGTGCCCCCCGACCCACCACACGCACCTTGGCTCTGAGTGTGTCCCTGTTGTCCTGGAGGGCGTTGATGGCCTCTGCCAGCCACAAGTGCACTCCGCCAATTACAGTCTCCGCACCCGATGGGCCCCAGAACTTGTCAGTGATGAGCACCATGGAGTCTGGCACAGGTGTTAATACATGTGCACACACACATCACATGTACATGTTAATGTATTATCTTGACAGCACCAGTCAGAGGTACAGGTCAGCAGGGGGTTACATGAACTCACATTCAGACCAGACCACCTCACATGTGCAGCTCAAGGAACTCATTAACATGCTACCCACACAGGCTCCTATGAATACGCAGGACATTTGGTAATTTTTTTGCCCTAGTTTATGTCCATGCATGTCTGTTGGCTCATGTGGATGCTGAACATGCACCCCCTGGCCCACCATGGACCCATGTGAGCTGACAGTATGCATGGTGACTTGTCTTGTGCCAGTCCCCGCACATAAGGCTGTGTCTGCATGTGCATACTTCTACCATATCCTCTACGTAGCACAGGTGTAATGGCATGCACATGTTGGTACATATAGCTGTCAGATGCGGGCAGATCAGCACACTAACCAGCTCATGACAGCCATGCTACCTGTGCTGACATGCACGCGTGATGACTCGCCTCACCCCAACAGATGCACATGTTGATTCGTATGTGTTGGCATATGTATATGTCAACTCACCCTATGTGCATGCACACACAGGCATGCACACACAGGGATACCCTCTGCATATAAACTGGTCCACTGTGTGTAGCACACATACATGCCAGCTTGCACGTGTCAGTGCATGGATATTTGTGTGCTGGCCAGCCATGTTACCCATGTGTTGATGTGTATGCATGTTGGGGCAGCTGGTCCACATCATACTCCCCTTGGGACATTTAAAGAAATCTTCCTTGAACCCACAGCCCCACCCAGATCACCCTGGAGTTTGGCACCTGAGCCAGGGACTACTCTCCCAGGACCCCTGTGTGTGGCACTCCCAGGAGCAGGCAGTTTCGGGGGTGTTCCCTGCTCACCCAGGAGGTTCCTCCACTCAGCATCTAGGTCGGCCTGGTTGGCAAGACAGCCTTTCAGCACATTTCGGCAATAGTCAGGGCAGGGCCGGGCACCAGGGACCCCCCGGCAATGAGCACAGTAGACCAGTTTCATGACAGCCCGAGAGCATTCTGGGGCCAGTGGCACCTGGAAAACAGAGCAGCTTGAGCCTCCCTGCAGTCCTGGTGTACCTAACCCCAGTCAGCCCCGAAGGCACCCTGGTCTGAGGGGTTTGCAGCTAGCCCTGAAGGCACCCTGGTCTGAGCGGCTTCTCTGCTAGCCCCAAAGGTGCCCCAGTCTGATGGGTCCCCTGCCAGCTTTGAAGGTGCCCCGGTCTGAAGGGTCCCCAACGAGCCCCAAACATGCCCCATCCAGTCTGATGAGTTCCTAGTTAGGTCCTGAAGGAGCCCTGGTCTGAGGGGTCCTACCTAGGCCACGTCCTGAAGGATCCCCAGTCAGATGAGTCCCTGGCCAGATCCTGAAGAGGTCCTGGTGTGAAGGGCTTGGGATGCAAGCCAGATAGTCTAGGCTGTGTTCTAACTGGCTGTGGGACCTTGCCTAGTCCAGCCCACACTGGTCACAGCCCCAGGCCACTCTGGCACACTGTTGTGACTAGGCTTCACTGCAGATGAGGGAACCAAGGCCCAGTGGTTGGAGGATGACTTGCTGGAGTCTGGCTAGAGGTGGGGACAGTGTGGTGTACGGCTGGCGCCTCCCTCACACCCTTCCCTAGGTTGGTCTGCCACGTGCCACCTCATACAGTGAGCGGCCTTGTTGGCCTGGGAGGCTTCAACTTGCTCAAGGCCCAGCCGCACCATTTTCTTGTTTCCTGTGTCCTAAGTCCAGCTGCCCAATGGCCTTCCCCATCCTGTCCACAGCATCCCTTGGCCAAGGACACAGGACACACAGCAGATGGCCAGGCTTAAAGTGGACTCACACCTGAGAACCTGCTGGAGCAACTAATGAGCTGCAGCTGTGGGGCTGAGGGCCAGAGGCTCAGGAGAACAGAGCAGAGTGTGGCAGGCACTAAGCACCTGGGGGCAGACTGAGGGACCCTGAGGGGCTGCTGAGAGACCTGGCCAGTGTGCGCACCTGGGCCACCTTCCGGACCACGTCACTGGCCACACCCAGGCCCTGCACGAAGGAGCGAGCGGCCACGAAAGCCCGGGTGGCCCGCAGACGCAGCTCCCGAGGGGCATCCCCAAAGGGCCGCAGTGCCTCAGCCTGCTTGCCCAGGCAGTCCAGGTAGTCATCGGGCAGCAGGAGCTGGGGATGCAGTTGTCTGAAGAGGCGCTCCAGCAACCTGGCCCAGAACTCAGCCAGCGTCTCCTCCAGGTGCAGGTTGGCGCCACGGTAGTAGAGACGCAGCTCGGTGTACAGGTCCCGGAAGGCCCGGCTGTTCTGTGTGTACAACTCCCCGAAGGCACCAGGAAAGGCATCCTGCAGTGTGTGCTCCGAGTCGTTCAGCAGGCGCTGGAAGTAGTCTGAACAGGGGCGGAATGTGAGGCCTTCAGGGGCTCTGCCTCTCTGCTCATCCGCCCAAATGCACAGGGGATGGGGGGCAGTACTCAGCTGAGAGTCCTCACTGCTGTTCAGAAACCTGCTAATGCGATCACCACTGTGTGGACACTGAAGATGCCTCTACAGGCTCCCAGAGACTCGCTCTCCAGAGTGGGGGTGCAGAAACCTGGGTGAGGGGTGTCCTCTCTAGGGTCATACGATTTAGGCCTCTAGCTGGGCCTTCAGTGGCCATTTCTGAATTGGGCTTGGCCACCACATCCAAGATTCAGTGACTCCCGGGAGGGGGAGCCACAGTGACCCCTGGCTTGTTTCTGGCTTTCCCTGCCCAATGCCCATCTTCTGCCCCAGCATCCTGGTGCTGCCCTAAGCAGCCTCCTGATTGCAGCCACCCCCTCCTTTGCGGCTCTCCAGGCTTCCTGCCCCTCCCAGCTCCCTCCTTCTGGGTTTCACTTGACATTTCCTGGGAGCCAGAAGCCAAGCAGTTACGGGCCAGCATCCAGGAACTGGAGAGGGAGGGGCACCAGAGCCTCAGGTGGGAGCCAGGCTGGAGTTTCCAAACCCTCAAGGCCACACCCTGGGTGCGGTCAACCTCAGGGTGTCTGTTCTGCAGGTACTCGGTGCCCGTCTTCCCAGCTGCACTCTGCTGCAGGGACTGTCCCTCTGCCTGGGCCCTGTGTCTTCCATGGAGAAAGTGGTTAGCTTCCTGGGGAACACTCCTGACCCCAAGGCACCGCACTGTCCCCGTCAGACATGCCAATCCTGTCTGGGCTGCTCTTCTCTACCCAGACTCAGTGAGGCCCAGGGAGAGGCTGGTGAGTAAACACACTAAAAGGCAGCTGACCCATCTTGAGGGCACACAGGAGCACTAACCCAGGGCCCCCAAGCTCTTCCTGCCCCTGGCTATAAAAGGCCACGAGGTAGTCACCCCAGGGTAGGCCCTGTGCTCTTCAGCCCTCATATCCCTGACTAGGGGATGACAGCTCAGACAGGGGACTTCCTACAGGGACCCCAGAACCCCAGAAGATGCAGATGAGATTCAGGCCAAGACCAGCCCTTTGCAGGTCCTTGGGAACTCTTCTGGGGACACAGGGCCTCCCCAAGAGCAGCAGGCTCCTTCTCCCCAGGGCTCTGTCAACAGCTTAGGCTCACTGTTCCCTGCCTAAGCCCTGTAGGAAGAGGGCAGCCTTTCTGCTGACATTAACCACCCAAATCCTGCTCCTCCAATCCCTCTACTCTCCAGTTCCAACTCACCATCGATGCCGTGCAGCTGGGTGGCCAGTGTGGCCTGCAGGGCTCTGCTGCTCTCCTGGAGTGCTGTCTCCAGCTCCGCACGGCTTCGGTTAGCCAGGTTTTCCTCCATCTCGCTGGTGCAGCAAGTGTAGCCCTGGGGGCAGATCCGTAGGTGCTCACCTGTGAGGTGGGGAAGGGTGACATGAAGGGAAGCAGGGCCCATCGTGCACTGCCCAAGATGGGGTTCAGGGGCCCTGTGTGAAGGCAGAGACGGGGGCAGGGCAGGTGAGGCCTGGCTCCTTGGCTCTGACCTTTCAGGACCCTTGATGAGTTCCTAGGGAGGGGGATCACAGGTGCTTTTCAGTTAGCAGAGCACTGAGCCTCGGAATAGGAGTATTGTACACTCACTCCGCACCTCAGTTCAGGCACAGGAGGAAAGCCAAGCCAGGGTCCTATGTGGAAGGGAGAGGGGCTGCCAGACTCGGGCTCCTAGCAGAGCTTTCTAGGCCTGGCAGGTGCCTTAGCCCAGGTCACAATGAAAATGGCGGAGGAAGAAGGAATCCAGCCTCTTCTCTGCCCACCAGAGAAGGCCCAGAGGGTACCCAGCTCTGTGGTGCCACTGGCAGACATCCTGCAGGACCCTGAGCCCTGAGCAGAGGCCACCCAACCCTGGTCCAAGGCCCCCACCCAGCTGGACACACCCCATGTTCCCACAGTGTTCTGGCTGAAGCTTCCTCCTCCACACCTGTCCCAGGCTGCTCTGCTCTGGGTGGCATCAAGCCAGTGCCATCCAAGACAACTTGCTTTCCTACTGGGGACAGAGGGTGGCTTTGGGTGTATAATCAGCTGGAAGTGCCCACCATGGAGCCCTGAGAGCATGTGCTAGATGGCTTCATACCTGAGAGAGAAGAAACCCTCGGTGTGGAGTGGTAAATCCTCTGCTAAGGCTGCGGGGCGCCCCTTTCACAGGGAAATCTGAGCTGCTCAGGGGACTGAGTTCAGACCCTACCCCCTGCCCACTAACAGGGCCAATGCCTGTCCCCCAGCCCATCTACTCCCTTCTCACAGGCCACAATGCTGTCTCTCAGCCTGGAAGAGAGGGCTCCCCTGAGGCTGGCCAAGGTCAGGCAGAGGAGAGGTGGAGACAGGCTCTGGCTTAGACAGAGGGGCTGGGGAGGAAGGAGGAGTTGGCAGGGATTCCAGAAATTTTCCTCAGTCTTTCCTGATCTTGATGCCCCAGTTGTTGGGCTGAAACCAGAAAGTCAGTGAGATGTTGAGGGTGCCAAGGCTCGAGCAGCTGCAGGACCCCTGGGTGCCCAGGTCTGCCTTGTCTCACCCTTGCCTACTGGGATCAGTAGGAAGACAGGGGGATGGATGGGCCCAGGGCCAGGCGGGGGGTAGAAGAGGTGAGCTACTCGGGATTCAAGAATGGGATGCTGGTGGCTGCTCAAACACCGGGGTGGAGAAAGAGTAGAGGGGGTGCAGGAATCTGCCATCCCAAGATGTAATCACTGGTGGTGGGCAGAGACCTCTAGCTGAAAGAAGTGACCCCCACACCCAAGGCCTGGTGTCTAGACCTCACCCACCTCAAGTTCGTTGAAAGAACTCCAAGCCTAACAGAGAGCCTAAGGAATAATCCTGAGGCTGAATTCACTCTAAAGAGCCTGTCACATGATGACAACATCCTTGTCTTTAGTACCGTGTGTGTGTGTGTGTGTGTGTGTGTGTGTGTGTGTGTGTCTGTGTATGTAGGCGTGTACAGATGGGGGCTGCAAAGTAGATGTGATCTTGATCTGGAGGGGGTGGGAACAGCAGCCACATTGTTCTCGTGTGGGACTGGAGAGTGGTATTGAGGGCCTAAGAGAGTCCCAGGGGACAAGGATAAGGTCAGGACAGGTGGTGGGAGAGGGCAAAGGCAGGCAGAATGGGGAGCTCCCCCAACCCCAACCTCCAGCTCTGCTCAGGCCTCATGTTGAGGTCTTGGTCTGGAGGCCCCTCCTCCTGCTGTTGAGATATGAAAGCTGTGCCTCATCAGACCCCCGTGGGGACTGTCTGCCTCAGAACCTCAGTGCCATCTGGTCTGAGGGTCCCCAAAGGCCCACACAGCAAGTCAGTGGCCAAGGGCTGGTGGGACAGCAGGAGGAAGTCGTGCTCTGATTCAAGGGTGCCTGGTGGGTATGGGTTAAGAGAAAGGGGTGGACCATGTGGGTGTATGGAGGCCATGTGGAGATGAGGTCGGCACACACTGACTCTTCCTATCCCCACTCCTCTACCCTGTACCCTTTACTCTGACCATCCTCTTTCCTCCTGCCCAGGGTGCCTGCTCCTCACAGGCAGGTCCTGGGATCCAATATTCCATTGAGTGCCCAAACTCAGACAGGGCTGGTCTGGGGCCGGGAGAGCTGGGAGTTTGCAAGCCTGGTAGAGAAGGGCCCCTCTGTCTGCCTCTGTTGATCTCTTTCTTGTAGAGTAGGGAGGGCTGGACCCAGGGTTATCTTTCCATCACTGAGTGAGCTGCCTGAGACAGGAAGAGGTTAAGTAAGGACACATACACTCAAGAAACAGGTGCTTGCCCCTCCACTGCAGGTTCTGGTGGGTGGGACTCATGAGCTTCTCAGCCAGCCACTGCAAGCAAATCCCACCCCATAGCCTCCCCAGCAGCCCCTTGGCTCTGCCTGGCCACCTCACCCAGCCAGCCCGGTGACCTGCGCTGTTCCAGCTGCCCCAGCACAGCCCCCGTCCCTCCCTCCCTCCTCGGACAAACACGGGAGTGAAGACACGGAGCCAGAGCCTGGGCACCGGCCTGAGGGCCCCGGGCAGGCTGGGCCAGGCTGCCCGGAGACCCATGCAAGGCAGAGCTACTTGCTGGAGGTCAAGGACAAGTGGTTTCCTGGCTACTTGCTGAGCCCTGGCCCAGCTGATACTGGGGCCACGGGTGAAACTGTAGGTGCTGGACATCAGAATGGCAGAGGTGAACACTGTGAGGGCCTCACACTTCCAGAAAAGTGGGGGCACCGGAGAGGACAGCGTGAGCAACCTGCCTAGGATGAGCTCCTCCTCTCAGCTCGATCTCCAGGAAAAGGCAGGCCGGGAGGGGCAGCGCTGTATGCCTGCATGCATCTAAGCCTGAGAGGGGCAGTTTTCCACTCTTAGAGGTACGCCCACCTGCGGCTCCCTCCTTTCCCAGCCATTGCTTCTCACTGACCCCACCCACCTGTATCAGTCAAGGTCACCTGCCCTGTGCTGGGCCGGCTACTGTCCCTTCTTTGGCCCCTTGGCTGAAATTGCTAGAGGTGACTTCTTTCTTCCAGACCTTTCCCTTCCTGGTTTTGGGGCACTTCCCCATGTGCTCAGGTTTTACTTGGGTGAGGCAGTTGTTCATTCATGGCTGGTTTGTCCCTGCTCCCAAGCCCCCAATCCCTCCAATTTCCAGGGCCCTGTTAGTTATGACACCCCACAGGCATTGACCCCATGGGCGGCAGCCCGTTGTTCACTCTCCTCAGACTCCGGCTGCCTGCGGCTTCAGTAGCCTTCAGGGTCACACCCTCCTGCCACCTGCTGACAGCTGTAGCTCCGGCTCCTCTCCCACAGAGGCAACGCTCCCCCTCAGTCATGGTCATCAGCAGTCACCACAGGCTTTACCCAAGCTCCAGCATTTTGAGGGCATCTTTGATGCTGCACACAGACCTCACTGACCTGGCCTCCCCTGATACCCTGAGGGACACTTTCCACTTCACCTGAGGGTACAAAATGGAAAGCCTGCCCCCCCCCCCACTTTGATTCTACACTGACAGATACCACCCCTAAAATACTCCAGTTCAGTGTGGACAACCTCCCTTCATGGTTTGGAGTGGTTGCACAGAGGACAGCTTCCACATGACAGCTGTCACAGCTAAGGGAGATACTAGGCTGTATACCCCCCCCCTCGGCAATGCTGGCCCCTAGAGGGGGCCTTTCTGCTGACTGAGGAGTAAACCAGTCCCCTGTGCTCCAGGGCTCACCCCAGTGGCAGGTGAGGGTCTCCGGAATGTGGCGGCCTGCAGGTAGCAGGGAGCCAGGAACAAATATACTCCAGGGGACCTTCATTTTTGCCTGCCCCTGCTCCCCAAGAAGCCAGCACCTGGCCAGTCCCTAAGGGTCACACATGAAGAAGGACACTGAAACGGAATCTCCGCCACTGACCAAGCATCAACAACACAACCCTCCCCCTTCACTCCCAATGCGGCCCCCACCCTCCTGGATGCCCTCCCACCCCCCCAAGACTACTGCCTCCATTTCACCCAAATGACAACATCACCAAGAAGCCCCTCCGCCGGGCAGCGCCTCCGTCACGGGGACCCCTAACTGGGGGGCGTCAGCTGCCGGCACCTCTATGCGCTCAGCGGGAGGGGTCCGCCTCCAGGGCTAGCCGGGGCTCCAGCCACCGCATCAGGCCTGGCAAACAAAGCCTGGGCGACACCTGCGGCTCCCACTGTTGCCTCTGCAATGGCGGGACCCCGCACCCTGCGAGAGGTTACGGGTGGGGGAGCCGCGTGCCGTGCAGGTGGAGCAGGCACGCAGGGTCTGCGGATGCCGCCCCTGGCGCGCAGTGAGGAGGGGGCGCTGCTGTCACGGGCGCGGCTAGCGCGCAGTCTCAGGGCTGCGGCAGGCAGAGGGGAGGGAAGTGGGGGACTCGGAGGGGGCTGCGGCAAGCAGGAGATGAAGGGAGGGGCGGAGGGCCACGCGATTGGCAGTGAAGGGGCTTGCCGCAGTGGGCGCGGCAGACAAGGGGGAGGAGGGGGCGCGCTAAGGCTGCGGCAGGAGAAGGGTGGGGGATGGGCTCGGCGGAGGAAGGGGGGTTTGCTTCAGGAAGGGGGCTGCGGCAGCCGGTGGGGAAGGATGGGGGGGGCGGCCAGGATGATGCAGGGCGGCGGGGGGGAAAATGGGGACAGGATGAGGATGTGGAGCCAGAGGTGGGGAGGCGACAAGGTGTGGCAAGGCTGGGAAGGCCGAAGGGGGTGGAGATGGGACCAGGCTCTAGATGGAAGGGGATGAGAAATGGATGGCTCGATGGGGGTGCCGATGCAGGAGGGTGGCGCTGAGGATGAGACAGGTGCGGTGAGAGCGTGGGGGATGCAGACAGGATGGCAATGGAGATGGTGAGCGGACCCAGCCTGGCACCAGCTTAGCTGGCGGCACCC